TATTCAAGTCAATTATGGAATTATTTCCTAAACTCATAATTAAATTATTAAAACTCCTAATTTAACGGTGCGTGTTCTTACATTTTGTGACAAGGTCTCGGTAAAAGAAAAAAGAAAAAGGTTTATCTCGGTTCTTCCCTGAACAAACAGGCTCATTTTTGTAGGGAGGACCGATATCATAATTTTCTAAATTGCCGACATTGAGCTCGGTTACATCCTCAATGCTCATCTCGGATACAGTACTCAAAACTTCATATGTTACCCAAGGATACTGGGATATTAAGGCGGCAGGAGGACACTCAGAATCCAACTCAGCAGAGCGAGATTCCTCTACAATATCTGACTGGGATAACACCATAAATACCTAAAAAAAGGAAAATTATAATCAGAAGAAATGGATGGGCATACTTGAATCAAAATAGCTACTACTTGAAGAATCACTAGCTGATAAACTTGCAGACTTGTCCGAAATTGAAATTAGATCATTTGCATCATCAGAAGCTGAGTTAGATCCCGAAATATTTCCATGGTGACAACTCGACAAAGTGGACTTGGCTAAAGAGTCACAACCTTTCTCTATAAGTTTGAAATTTAAGAAGACACAAGAATAACAAGGTTCAGTCTATTTAGACTTTAAAGGTCTTGGAGGAACATGAGAAGAAGTTGATACATCCAGGTTTTAATGAGAAACTACCTCAATGAGAAACTATCTCAGAAAGGTTGGACCGGGTTCTAGGAAAATATTGTGGGAAACGAGTGTCTGAAAAAGGACAACCTCTACCCCGCCTACTTGAACCTCGACCCCGTCCAGAAGGGCTCTCATGAATCCTGGGATTTTATAACCCGGATCTACCTCTACTACTTCCACCATAATGCTTCACATTTCTCCTCTTCAGTCCTGGGCATTTCGCAAAACCAATATCGAAGACCAGGAGGAATCTTCTTGAGAAGCTCTGCTTTATCTTCTTCCTGTCCTTCATCACGGTCACAGACAACATTTCGGGGATCTTTCTTCCCTTTTATTGGTAAAGGAGATAAAAGAAACGTGGGTGATTTGTCTAAAATCTTCAAATACACAATGTCAGAGGCGGATCCAAGTGTTAGAGAAGGGGGGCAAGTGCCCACCCTTAAAATATGATGCAAAAATACAAAAATATCCTTCTTTTAAAATTCAAAATTTTCAACTTTAATTTTGGGGTAAGATATTGTAACAATCAATTAGGGTTACTATCAATGTTACTACCAATCAATTTCACCGTTAGATCGATTATGTTGATCTAACGGTTATATTTATTTCCATATTTGTATAGTTTTGATTCTCAATATTTAATACTTTATATTTATTTTCACTTTTGTGTGGTTATAATTTTCCATATTTAATGCTTTTACATTAAATATGAGGATCATAACCACACAAAGATAGAGATAAATATAACTGTTTTGATCAACATAATCGTTCTAACGGTAAAATTGATTGGTAAAATTGATTGGTAGTAACATTGGTAGTAACCCTAGTTGGTTGTTACGAATCTTACGATATCCTACCACTTTAATTTCTCTCATTCTATTTTATTTTTTCTTGAGTTTTTTTTCTCCTCCACCTTCATTATCCAAACCTAACAACAGAGAGCTCTATTCCAGACTCATCGTTTGTATCTACACAATGATTCGTCTCCTCTTAAACCTCAATCTCCGTTATTGAAAGTTGGAACATTTGCTTCTTCCTCCATCATCGATCCAGTTGAGTCGCAATCCATTCAGATCTAGATCTAAACCAGACCCAGCCAACCGACTGCTGCTCGCAAGTCGCGTTCAAGACTAGACCCAGATCTATTTGTACTTGAACTTATTGAGTGCCCACCCTTCATTAATTTCCTAGATCCGCCACTGCACAATGTACACTTACTCAGAAATACCAGAAATATCACAGAGGGCAATAAGAGCCAAAAACTTCACAAGACACAGTACCATATGAGGGGAAAATAACAAGATTCAAATATGCAAGAAGCGTTTAGAAACTCAAAGAAATATGAAATGGAGATTCAAAAATATGAATCGCTTTAGATATTCAAACTGACCAAAAGAAGAAGCAAAGGAATTCAAAGGATAATGGAAGTACCTAAGTTGGAATGAGAAGATTTTTTGAGTGCTTTGATATGAACTCTCATATAGGCGAAGATCAGAAGGGGAGAATACAGAACAAACTTCTCACCAAAATAGCAAATGTGAAATAGAAGAAAGAAAGGGGGAAATATAAAAAACGTCAATTCACCCAGAAAGTAATGATTAGATGGGTGTCGTGCATTTAATGCGCACGAAATACGAAGACGGCGTATGATGGATACAACACGCTAATGAGAACAAGAATTACCACTTGTAAAAATTGCATCATTACTTCAGTAAAGATAAAGCTCTTATCTTGGAATTGCAGTTATGCAAACAACTGGGAAATAAGAATCAACGAGGTTCGTAAAAGTTGGGATATAAGGAACTAGGAGCCGAGCTCCAAGATAGATATTTCCACACGCAACAAGTGATAGCGAGCTTTACATTGAGTATGAAACCGGGATAATCTTTCGAGAAACTCGAAAAATCAAGATAACTCTCCAAGGAACCCAGACAGTATGAAACCTGAGAATTTCGAGATATTCTTAAAGCCATATGTACCCCGATAGCCCGGACACCCAGACTGCCTGGCTAAGGGGCAACTGTTATGGATTCATATATGAGACCCATTTACCACCAGGCCCAACAAGGGGCAATCCAAATATAAATCTGATATAATTAAAGGAGGGTATCCATCAAAGATATCAATCCTAATACGACAACATTAAACATGGGATTGGGCTGCTAGAAGAGGCCTAGAAGATCCAGAATCCAATACCCACAGGTAAACTCTAGAAATAGGAGATAAATCCTACAGGTATGATTGATCTCTCTCTCTCTCTTACTATTATGCTGTCATTGTGCACACACACCACCCTTTTGGTGAAAGCTATTATTTACTCTTAGTGCATAGTGATCTGCTAAACTCAAGGGTATCTAACTCATAGATACCTTAAAGAGAACACTTAGATCCAACAGAAACTTACTAGTCCATTGAGCTAGACATTTATGTCTCCAGGACAGAACAATTATTTTCTCCAAATAAAAGAGTGTACTTATATTATCGTGTAATTTATATTTTTAATTTTAATTAATCTTAATTATTAACTCCGCTTGTATCTAACGATTCACATGACAAATAAATTAGAGTAGTTAACTGCAAATATATCAACAGTTAAGCTTTGGAGAGTAAAATTTTTTAGTTTTATCCTGAAATTAAAAAATTTATTTTTAATGTTAAACTACAATTGTCGAAAAGGGTTACGGCCTACGGATCAGCTCACAAACCCTATTTTTGACCCTAACCCATAAAAATCCACCTTGTGATACATCTTTTTCTAACTTGCAACCCCAAAAGTATTATGATTTAGAGGGCTAGGTTCGAATTTATTTATGGGGCAAAAATTTCTCATTTTACGGATTATAGATCATCTTCATGGGCCAATTTGCACACAAAAACTTTAGATTTGGTTTATTGGGCCACGACCTTTTTCTCCTCTCTCAAATTATATGGATTGTCTTCAAGGGCCAATTTAAAGTTGGAATGCAATGCACAGTAGCCATGACCTTTTGTAAGCATTAAGATTTAAAAGAGGTAAGTAGATAGTCCAGATGTTTCACAAGAACTTTCTGTTGAGCAAATATTTTTACTTTAATTTAACTTTTTGACCGTGATGTTTCACAACTTTGACAGATTTGGCCTTGGCCATTAATTTTTTTGTTTGTTATAGAGAATGCTGAAATTTTGTGAAATTACTTAACGTACTTTGGTTGCCAACACCATACCAATGTTAATAAAATCATACCGGCTAGACTGGGTCGATTCAAGAACCGGTAAATTGATCATATAATCGATCCGATTGAAGCAACAGATCAATCATGCATCAAAATCGGTGTAACTCAGTTAATTTTTGTGAAAACCGGTGATCCGGTCAGTTAATGAGTGACCCGACCCGGTCCCCAAAAAAAATTATAATTGACATATTTAAGTATTTTTTGCTTATTGAATTACATAGGTTATGTACCTACAACACTAATATCATCTCAATTAGGCACTATGCAAGAAATTTTGATTTAATTTATAGTTGGAGATGTCGTTTATTGAACCTGAAACCCTGTATTACTATCATTATATTTTTGTTGGTCCTTTATTGGATAAGAATGTGTAATTTATTATTTTTATATTAAAATATTTGAAATTTTTATCATTTTTTTAGATATTTGAGTATATTTATAATTTTTTATTATAAATTATAGAATTGTATATAATTATTGGGTCATGCAGTTCAACCAGTGACCCATTGGTTCACAGTGACCCATTGGTTGAACCAATGACCCAGTACTTCGATCAGGTCAATGACCGGGTCAGTTTTGATAATATTGCACCAGAAATAACAAAAATCTATTTAAAATATAAATGAAATCATCATTAATTTTATTCAAATTAAAAAAAAAACATTATATATTATATACAAGGTATGGTGAAAATTTAATTTAATTGTTGCGTCTGATACATTATTTTAAAATGATTATAATAAATTTTATTGTCCTTAAAATATTTATTTTATCTCCAATAACGAAAATCAAAAGAAATAATTAAATATAATTATTAACTAAGAAAATTAAATTACAAAAATAAAATAAAAAATATATCACCTATAACAAGCATCCCACAGCACTCTTCTTTAGAGAAGTTCGGTCATGAATATTGCTACACAACAAGAAAAGAAACAAAAAAAAAATAGAATTTTATCAAAATATAAGAGTAATTATTTATGAGGTTTGTATTTGTCATTTAACATGACACAACAAACTTTCCTACCCACAACATTTTGTGGGCCTCACACTTATTGAAGAAAAAAGAAATTATGACATGCAAAATGAATCTCTATAATATTATAGAGTTGTTTTTCCTACAACGTAACTCTTATAAAACCCATTATTTATAGTCACTAAATTAATTGATAAGAACTACTCACTGATTTGAAAATTAATAAAAAGTCCTATCAAAATTTGACCAAATCAAGAAAGAAGAGAAAAAGGAAAACAGAGTGTTCAAGAAAAAACATCAATACGAAACATGTACAAGAGTTAAAAAACCAGCTAGCATCATCATACACATCATACATTTCCAGCCTCCAATCCACTGAATGTATCATAGAGTGGCTGGTTCAGTGTCTCAGGCAGATAAAACGCTAACAACCCACCTGCTATCCCGCACGTTGCAAACACCGCAAACGGTAAACAACCACCTAAAACCACCACTAAGGGCGCCAGTATGGCCCCCATTTGCGCCGCCTGTGTGGCACACCCAAGGGCGGCGTTCCTCACCACCGTAGGGAACAACTCCGCCGTGTAAATAAAGAGCAAGTTATAAGTCCCCGCCATTCCAAATATTCCTAAAACACCACACACCATTCTCACCACTTTCCACACACCAACGTTACTCATCAAACTTCCCATCAAACAAAAGAACCCACTGAACCACATCGTACCAATTGTCAACGGTCTCCTCCCAAACCTATCCAACAACACAGCTGTTATCGTGAACGCCGGCATCTCCGCCACCGCATTTAACAGCACGTTGAAGTAGAGGTTTGTTTCGAGGTTCACCACGTTTAAGCTAAGACCATAGTAAACCACAGAGCCCAAGAAGTTAAGAGCCACAGCTAGAAGTAACCTTATACGTGTAATTGGAGAGCGAATCACGTCCACGATGGATCCAACGAGTGCATCTTTGTTTTCCAAGCGCTGATTCTTGTAGGTTAGGTCACAGCCTGAGCCATTTTCTGTTGATGCTGATGCTTCTTCGTCAAGTGTTAGAAGAACACCATCAGGAAGGTGTTTCCCATTGGAGGAAGCAATGGTGGACATGAGCTTCATGGCCTCGCTTATTCTCCCACGAACGAGGTACCATCTTGGGGATTCGGATATGAAGGGAAGGACAAGGATGATGAAGAGTAAGGAGGGGATGGAAGAGGCTATGTAGAGATTGCGCCATGTTTGGAAGATGTAGGCAAGTCCTGAGAGAATTGCAATGCCACCTGAAAAGAAGTAGAAGGTGGACATTCCGGCGGTTCCGCGCTTGGTGGGGCCGATGGGCTCGGTGGCAAGAACGAATGCGCAGAGACCGACACCGCCACTGCTGAAGCCGGTGAGGAGGCGGAGGAGAACATAGGTCCAGTAGTTAGGAGAGAATGCTGTTAAGCAGCCAAAGATGGCGTTTAGGGCACATACCACTGTGAGAGAGCCTTTCCTTCCGAGAGATGAGTCTGAGAGGTGACCAAATATCCCAGCACCTAAAATTACAATATCAATATCGTGTTATTTATAGGCCATTAAATTTTCGTGTTGATAAATGGTAAGTGAAAGATCAAGTTTAGATAATATGGGGAGATAAATATTTTTATCATTATTGCTAGCAGAATCAAATTTAGATTACAAAGAAAAATTTTCCCTATGATTGTCCAAATTTTGTTGATTGTACAAACTCTCAAGTATACATTATTAGGTTTGTGCGTAATTCAGGATACGCACAAACCTAATATTTTCCCATACTAAAAACTATTCTTCTTGTAGCACTAAGCACTGGATCAGTTGGCCGTAACTAATTATAACTTAACCAAATCATCTTGAGTTCGAGTTCTGGGTAGCTAGTTAAAAATAAAAAATAAAAAAATTCATGGAACCTGCGGAGAGAAGAAATCGCCCATGATTTAAAAAAAAAAAAAAACAAGACACAAAAATTAAAGGGTCATCAACATGTGGCGTAAAAAAAGTAACATGATCTGACACGTAAAACATTAACTTAAAAGTTGTCGTCCACTTGTTTTCCTTGAAACTCAACAACCACAAGCCCCACCGAAAGGACAAACTTCAAAAATAATTAATAAATAAATCCAACTGGGAAAACGACAAACACAAAGGTCTGTCCTTTTTTTATTTATTTGATATCAACATAAAGGTCTGCTTTGGTTCGTCTATTATAGACTTTTTAGTCCTTCAACCCGTTTTGCAGGCCCATATACCTTAATAAATGGCGAAAGAATAGTTCGATCAGTGCCCCTCACCATGATGCGTGATAGTTAAAATTTCATTTATCATTATGAAATTTTATTAATTTTTTTATTCAAAACAATGTTATGAATATTGTAAATATTTTTATAATTTTTTATTTTTTTTATATTAAAATTTTACGTTCTATAATTTTTGATAAAATTTCAATTTTATCTATTATGCTCACCACACAGTTTCATGTTTTGCCCATATACTTTATTTATTTATTTATAGGAATGCCCATATACTTTAATTGAGGGCTTTTGACTCTTCTAATGTCAAAATTAGCCAAATTTATGGCTTTAATTTTTTTGATAAATTATTTATTAATTTATCATCTATAACCTTCCTTTAATTACTTCCCTCAAATTTAAGTAACCTCATTATAATATTTTTCCTTATTGAGATTATTTTTCATTTCTTTTACACTTATCATCAAATAATTATGCAGTTCAAAACGATGCCTGAGAAGATGAATCTAGAAGCTACTTCTGGAAAAACAAAAAAATAAATAAATAAAAAGATAAGGAGATAATAGTAAGGGAACTAACCAATCATACAGCCAGCGAAGAACAAGGCCTGGACAAGACCAACCTTAAACTTGTCACTACAAATCAAACCCCAATCGGAGACGGTGGAGCCGCCGCGGCTTCCGATCCACTCCCAAGATCCTGGTTGAAGGCCGCAGACGCTTCCTCCGGCGGCGGCGTCGCAGGCGGAGCCGGGGAGGCACCTCCAGTCAGGTTCGCGGTCGGCAAATATCATGACCATGGTGTGGAAGGCCTCAAGAGCCCATGCGAGGCTTGTGAGAACGAAGTGCTTCAGCTGCCACTGCCCGAACTCCCCACAATACTTCTGCAGCATCTCGTCGATGCACATCTTCTCCATCTCCGTCTTCTTCGCCACCGGCGGTAACATCGGCGATTGGAGATCATCGGAGTCCGAGGAGAAGGTGGCGGCCATTTCAGCACTTTTTCTATTGTTCTCTCCCCTTCTCTATTTCTTTCCTTACATATCTCAGACACATAGACTGTTAGTCCAATATATACTACTTCTGAGTTCTAACAATAGATTTAGATGCATTTATTATTATTATTATTTAAACACAAGGCAAAAAAATAATAATTAGAATAGAATTTATCATTTTTAGATAATTTAAAACCTTTAAGTTACGTCGTATTAGAATAATTAATTGTTTATTAGTGGTAGTTTAGAATTAGGATTAAATTAAGGGTAAAGTATTTCTCTGGTAATTCGAGATAAGTTATTTTCGATGATTTCCAAAATTACATCGTTTTGAATTAATAAAGGATATTTTTCATAATTTACAAAAATTAATGAAGAGTATTTTGGTAAAATTTATATGATAAAAAATAAATATAAATAAATAAAATTACAAAATATCCTTCATTAATTCAAAATAATATAGTTTTGGGAATAACTGAAGATGACTTATCTCCATCAACTAGAGATAACTTATCTCTAGTGAATGAAGAAATATTAAGGATAAAGTATTTTTTTCAATTTTTAGAGATAAATTATCTCCGGTGATCCCAAAATTATGTTATTTTGAATTAATAAAAAATGTTTTCATAGTTTTAACGAAATTAATGAAGGGTGTTTTGATAAGATTATATGATAAAAAGAATTTAAAAAATACTCTTTATATTTTTAAAAAGATGTAATTTTGAGAGTCACTGAAAATAATTTATTTCCACTTTACCCCTAAATTAATTAAAACGGATGACATGATTTTCTTACTATTAAGTCAAAGTTCTAATTTGATTTTTATTTTATTTTTAATTTGTTAGGTGAAGGGTGAGTCATGGAAGATGGTGGGTGGGTGAGTATCAAGAGGGACCTGGAATGTGACATGTGGATGACGATTCTGTTGTTAATTTGTTCAACATTTTAGACTCAGATAAGAAGATTTGATTATTGTAGTGATGAAGTATAGACGCGGAAAGAGGGTCGAAGCAAGTGATTGAAATAATTTAAATCTACTTGCATGGTTGTCTTCAATTATTCGATCTCTGGGATCCTTTATTTTATTTGGAAGGCATGCTGCTTGTATGAAATGTATCTAAAGGTGTGAGTATATTAATGAACCATCAAATCAACAAGATGGGTTCACCAAACTTGGGGATGTAATGAATTTGAGATACGTATTACGTGCATGTTTTACATTTTCGTCCACACAAACAGTGACTGGTTCGTTACGAAGATTGAGAGGAAATAAATGAAGTTTACTCACATGAATAACTGAAGTGGCTAGGAAGATTAAGCTCAACGCTTAAGGATGAATATAGTCTTTAATATGTAAATTATTTCATACCAAATGATATAAGCAAGTTGTTGCGAACTTGGGGTCGAACAATCATATATATACATTGTTATCAACTAGATCCATATCTCAATAACTTATCCAACAAAAGATTGAGATTTATCTTAACAATATCCAAACCACTAAAGGATCAAGGAATAAAACTCTTTTTCCAACACTGATATTAAAGAACTAACAATCTGGACAGTGGCGGAGCCAGACAAATTGAAAAGCTAGTGCCAAAAATCAACTAATCAGAGAGAAAGCTAATGTCAAAATCAACAGCTAAAGAGGAAGCAAATCATTTACGGTCATTGAAAATCAAAAAAAGCTTCTGATTTTGGAAACCAGTCAATGCCAAGGCACTTGCTGGTTTCAATGTGGCTATGCCACTGAACCTGGAGGTCTTCAAGGCCCAAGTCTAATAAGGTAAATCATTATAAATAAAGGTTATCATTACCAGGTACGCACTTTTAACTCATTTTTTATTATTGTCAATACTATGCACATGCACTCACGCCTTATATGTCCATTGTCAGTACAGAGTGATTGGTGCATTAGCTACGCGCTTGTATATATGATATCTCTCTTATATATATCTTTGAGTGCATACATCTATCACCTACATTGTGAACATTGACAGTCTACTCAGACCGAACATACACAATCGCAAAACAAAAAGAGAAAAGGGAAGAAAAACGGAAACACAAATTTACTTTAGTTAACCCGATATGAACTACATTCAGAGATATTTTACTATATTTTTGTCATAGCACTCTGTTTACAAAGGAAACATAAATAATTTAGAAACTCTTAGCAACAATGGTGATTCATGGTCCCATTTCAAACTACTAAAAAACAGAAGAAGAAAAAAACTAGACTCAAGGACTATAACATTATCAAAGCAATAAGAGTTATCATTTTTGTTTTTCTCAAATTTTGGAGATTTTTGTTAGTTATGCGTCACTCTTCGCATTCAAATAATAACTCTTATTTTTTTTGAATAAAAAAATAATAAAAGTTATCATCTAAATTCGAAAAATGAGTCATACCCAACAAAAACCTCCAAGATTTGAGAAAAACAAAAATGGGATCCCTAAAATAAGCCGTAACAATTTAACTCTGACATATAAGTCACGATAACAAAAGGCAACCGTGGGATAAGACGTCATAATTTGAGCCATATGAATTATATATCGTTAAATTAGTTTGTTGTGATGTATTTTAGCTAAATTAATGATAAAAAGAAAAGTATATTGATCAGGACCTATGGAGTTAAATAAATTTACTTGCTATTTGAATTTTATTTTTTTTTAAAAAAAACACATTGTCAACAGTAAGAAACTTTTTTAAAATGTTATATTCATATATGTTATTAATTACAAGTATGTATCTGTCAGTTTTGCTTAGGTTTAAGATAAAAAAAAATCAAATTAATCAAATCTAATTGAGTTGGTTTGGTTTAGTTTAATTTTGAAAAAAAAATCAATTAACCTGAGAAAAATTAATCTGACAATATTGGATTGGTTCAATTCGGGTCATCAGCTTAAAATAAAAACACAAATCATTATATATTTCTCAGTTTTTATTATAAATCATTGTCTTATTTTTTTATATATGATTTTAAATTTCAACTAGTTGCAAGATAAAATATGCAATGGTTCCTTGCTCATGATCGATATTTAGAATTAGAGTTTACATGCATGTTATTAAAGTTGAACAGGTGGGGTTAGAGCATGTGTTAAATTCTTCTCAATATCATTTTTAAGAGAGATTTAAAGTTTTAATCCTGTACTGATCTGAAATCATACTTTTCGCGAAGCTATGAACAGATGGAATATTTTCAACAACAAAAAATGTTTAACTCTTTCAATAATTTAACTTTTACATTCTCATTAATCTCTTTATCCAAATGTATGCTGACAAATTTTGACGGCAAACATAACTAAAGATACCTAGTAATAATTTAATTATTGGGCGAGGATGTAAGAATGAATGAAAAAGAAGTTTAAGTAAATGAAAGGAGACTATATTATTAAAATCTAAAACACGTAACCTTTGAAAGCTTAAAAATAAGAAGAAGAAAGAATTGATTCGAGTAATTATTTGGATCTCATGTTGAAAAATAAAATTTTTGATAATTAAACCAATGATAATTGATTGGTTTAAGTTTAACGTAAAATGAACCAATTATTCAAATCATTTTATTGCTTTAATTTGAATTATCGGACTCATCAAACTGATTTTACATGATGAACAGTCCTATATCTTATGCTTTTGATGTCATGACTATGTGTGTGACTTCCTTTTCAAAGATTTGATGCAACATTAACTCATTTTTTTTAATAATTGATTACTTCGTTTTTTTAAGTTTTTTTTTAGATAATTTTATCTAATATTCATCAAAACAATATCGTTTTGAAACGAAAATCATGATGTATCTATAATTTTAATTTATTTCAAGGTTATACGAAAATCATGATGTATCTATAATTTTAATTTATTTCAGGGTTATAATAGTCTTTATTATTCTAATTTTTTAACCTTAAAACGATGTCGTTTCAGTTAATATTAAATAAAGTTATCTAAAATAACATTAGATATTTTTTTCCATATTTCAATACCATAATGTTTATTCTTATTGTTACACTTTTTAATTTCATAAAATAAATGTAGATAAAATATAGTAAAATATGTTTTTATTATTGTATTATTTACATAGAATATTGTAAGAGTAGTGTAATAAAAAAAAATGCACAAATGATATTATTATAATAAATCGCAATTTGGTCTCGCATGCCACATGGGAATTAATTGCTACTTAAAATGCCCGCAATACTGACCGGCACAAATCAGTGTGACGACACGATGCGTTTTATTAGTTGTTACCATAGTTTGGTTGGATTAAGTTTTGGTTTAAATAAAGGTTTTGTTTTTTTTGATAACTTATTTACGGTAAATCTAATATGACGTCGTTTTGAGACAAAAATCATGATGGTTTTATAATTTTAATTTATTTCAGGGTTATAATAGTCTTTATATTTATAATTTTTTAAGATTTCAATACTAAAACGACGTAGTTTTATAAATAAATGCAGATAACTTATCTACAGTAACTGCAGAAATATTTTTTCCTTAAATAAATTAAGTATGTGTAAAACTTAAAATATTTTAAGTCTGACCTAATTTGTTAGTTTTGTGTAGTCTAAATAATAAGTCTAAAAATAAAATTTTTAGACTAGGCCTATTAATCTATTTAAATATATTAAGCATTTAATATTTAAAATAATATTATTTTATTATTTAAAATTATTAAAATAATTATTTTATTTAAAATAAATAATATGATATAAGTTTATATAAATTTATAAGTATGCATGTAAAAGAAAATTTTTAATCTATTTTTATAAATAATTTTTTTAAAATATTTAAATTTATTCTATTTAATTATTTATAATAGCTCAATCGTGGAACTTGGCGTCGTAGACCTTTGTTATGCCGTCTAATCGATTTCCACTCCTAGTTGTCACAAAGCGACGAAAGTGACCTGCACTATCTGTATCGTACCATCATGGTCATGGACATGGACGGACCGATCCCTGCACAATATTAATGAGCTTTACATTCAGACGCTGAATCTTTTATATGCTACCTTTTTCTTTTTAATAAATTTTATAAATTTAAAAATGATGTTATTTTAAACTGTAAAATTAA